TTTGCTCAAAAACTTGCCAGCTATCTACACTGGCCGCTTGAATTTGCGCAAGAACACTGACTTTGTAATGTACAAAATCAGTGCTTCTTGCGCAAATACTTTCATGCTCCTGCTCGGGAAAAAGCCCTCTTGCGCAAGAATCCTTGTGCAAGAGGTCGAGTGTAGACAGGGAAGAACTGTTTCGCGCAAAAAAGCCCCGATGGCTAAAATGGCAATCAGGGCTTTCTTGCGCAAAATCGCGTCTAGACTGGCCACGGATGCTTTTGCGCAAAAGCACATGCCAATCTAGATGCGCTTTTGTGGAAATACTTTTAACGGAAAAACTTTTCCATTAAAAGTATTTCCGCAAAATCATGCCAGTCTAGACGCAGCCATACTGTATGAGGTTGGAAGCTCTAATCACGATATGAGGGTGTACAGGTGTGTTCGTGCTAATCTATGACTATGTCTGATAGAACATTTTAGCTTTCTTTACTTCAAATTTATGGCTGCAACTGACTCCTCTGCTTATGATTAAGTACATACTTAAATCATTGCAGTATTGGAGCCTAAATTATTAGCTATATGTAAATAAAAGATCTCTCATATTTTGAGGTACGTATGCCAGCAGAAAACGAAGGCAGAGCTGAAATGGAGGGTAGAATTGTTGATCAAGTGCGTGATAAAAAAAACCCTTTAATATAATAGGTATGTCAGGTACCATAAGATTGATATACATTTCTCTATATTTCTATATTAACCACAATGAAATTAGGACATCATGTTGAAGCAGCTGATAAAAGAATTAATATGGAGAGAATTTCCTTCATGCTATATTTGTTTAACAGTTTGAATGTTTTCCTCAGTTACATATCATATTTTGTGAGGCTCTGTAGGAACTGCTATGCATAGATTTTATGGGAAGCTTGAGAAAAATCTTTGGAGTTTTAATTCACTTTTAGTAACTTAAGTGTGAAGAAAGTACAAATTTCTGATTTGTTTTACTTCAAAGTTTGTATTTTATTATCTCAGAAGTGGTTGACATTAAAAACATTGAAATAAGCTTGGTTTATAGTCAATGTTGGTGGGGGGGGGGATAACTTAAGCCCCTGGTCATACAGTAGACTTCATGCAGGCAGACCCCTGCACCGGCACATAGCTCTGCTGACGGGTCCAGCTACACTATGTCTGCTGTACCGTCAGACCCCAATGCTGCATTAAATTGGTTCAATACTTTGAGCTGTGAACAGTGAAAAATTAAATTTTCACTCGTAGGCATTAGAACAGTTTCTCTTTGTATTTTTAGGAAAGCAAAAGTGGTTGAGAATGTTTCACACATAATGAATTGCTTTAGGTTTCAGAGGCCATTAACTGTTTAAGGACAACTTAATTGGGACCAGGTCCTGTGCCGATGAAATCCATGGTAGCAGTATCTGGGCCTTAGAACTTATGGTGTCTAGGTCTGATTCTGGAAAGCATTTAAGTATTCCATTGAATTACATGGGAATTAAGCACATGATTATATGCCTTCCTGAATGAAGCAGGACCTAAAGGAAGGTTGTGAAGGTGTTAAAGATGCATCAGTGAAAGACACTCTGTGTGAACAACTTAGGCTTAAACAAGAACAATACGAGGAAAAATTAAATGAAAAGCCAAGTTTTAATGCAATTTTAGGGTTGAGAAATTCAAAGAGTAAAGTATTTAGATTAATATTAGCAAAGTTTGTAGCACAGACATAGTGACTGGAATCATAGTGACTGGAATTGGCTACAGTTGCCAATTTTCTATTTGCATAAAACCATATACTCTTGCCCTGCCCCCTGCCCCTTCTCTAAGCCCTGCCTCCCATTCTCTCCATCCCCTTTCCTCTGTTGCTCACTGTGTCACAACTTCACTCACACATTTTCATCAAGCGAGGACAAGGAGTTGGGGGTGTATGAGAGGGCTTAGGTATGGGGCAGGGAGATGGAGACTGAGAGAGGTTGAGGTCTCTGGACTGGGGGTGTTGGCTCAAGCATGGGGCCATAAATAAAGAGTTGAAGGTGTGGGAGGGGGCTTTGGGCTGGGGCAGGAGATTGGAGTGCAAGGTGTGAGGGCTCTGGCTGGAGATGCAGGTTCTAGGATGGGGCCAGGGATGCAGAGATTTGGGATGGAGGATGGGCTCAGGGCAGGGGCAGTGGGTTGAGGTGCAGGAGAGGGTGCAGAGTGCAATCTCCAGATGGTGCTCACCTCAGGCACCTCCCCAGGAAGCAGTGATATGTCCCTGTTGCTCCTAGGTGGCTCCCTAGGCCAGGGAGGTTGTGCACAGTGTCACCAAGTGCTAGCTCCACAACTTCCATTGGTCAGTGGAAATCAATGGGAGCTGTGGGGACAGAATCAGAGGGAGAGGATGAAATAGTGGGTTCTGACTCTGCAACCCCCATTTGCCTGGAAGAGTGGCCAGAGGAAGCTACAGGGAGGGCACGGAGTCCTGGGCACCGGCTCCACAGTTTCTATTTGCTTGTTACTGCAGCCAATGGAAGCTGCAGGGATGGAGCCAGTGTGCAGCACATGGGGTCTCCCTCACCACCTGTATGCCTAGAAGTCATAGGGACATGTCATCACTTCCCAGAAGGCATCTGAGGTGTGCGCCGCCCAGTTGAAAAACGGACACCTAACAACCTGGCTGACTTCAAGGAGACCAGGATTTCAACTCAGTGTTTTTAATTTCTGATTTCATGAATATATTCAGTGGCTACTTGTTAAATGTAAGCAGTCTGAACTTCATGAATAGTGTAACACACAAAATGGCTGTTGTAGAACACTTAGCACTGAATTTCCTGACTCTTGTATGCTTACCTTTTCAACTATAACCTTACACTAATGGTTTCATATTCAGCTTCCTGCTGTCTGCTGTATACTGCATTACAAATTGATTGCAAGCAGCTTGTCATTAAAGTAGCAAATAGATAAAACAGAGAAATTCAAAGCTAAAAATTAATAGTCCTGAAAATCCTCTCTCTCTTTTTTTAAACTTTAAAACATAATATCTAGCATAGGTTACTGGTGCCTGTGGGGAAAGGGGCTGTATTGAGGGCCACCGAGAGGGACAGGGAGGAGGCATGAAGGGACACCCATTTAGCAATTAAAATTTTAGCAGAGGCACCGGAAGCATCTCCAACTTTTGGCGGAGTCACCTCCTGAGTGCTACCGTGAGTCACTTTTGACATCTTGTTATCTTTGGCCAATCACAGCCAATTCTGAAATCTATCAAAAATAGACTCAGTTAGACAGGTCATGTAATCCCCACATATCATGCATGTGAACACACTTCTTTATCTTTCTGGGGTTTTTTCATATTTTAAAAGCGCTTTTAAAGTGAATGTAGTAGTTTAGTATCAGCCTAGACAAAATCTATTTCAAATCCCAACAATGCACTTTTGCTGTGGCCCAATCAGGACAATGGTTTCCCGTATGTTGTTGCTTCAAATAGAGACCTATGGATGGGCATGGAGTAGATGAACATAGAAGAATGGGAAGCAGATGTCAGGGAGCTGTAATGTACGCTAGAAGTATAGAGTGTGTAACAACTTGTAGATAAGAGTTGTGCTTAAGCCTGGTATTTTCCTTTAGAGGAAATTAATTTTCTGTCCAAGAAAAAATGAGAATTCATTGAATTCTATTGGTCCATGATGCCAAGGGATTTTTTTCTGGTGTCCCAGTTATAGAATGGTGAACAATAGGAATTACAATGGAGCATACAGTTAGTATCCCCGCTCCCCACCCCCACCTCCACCCACTTTCCTACTATTACCCTGAAGAGCTCATCACCACAACGTACTACAGGTTGAACCTCTGAAATCTGGGACTCTGGTTCAGCAACGGACCACGGATGTTGATGGATCAGAGAGCCCTAGAGCTGGGAAGTGAGAACCAGCTGGGAGCCCTGTCTCCCTGCTGCCCTGGCGAGCCCTGTCCCCAGCAGGCCCTTATGCAGGAATTTCTATGGGGGGTGCTTTTTTTGTAAATGTGACTGCAAGGGTGTGAATGCACCCTCCGTGATCTCCCAAGTAAGCAGGGAAATCAGTCCCAGCCTTCCCCCAGCCAGAGCATGCTTCCTTGGGGAACCATTGGGGGGGCTTTCACACCCTTTGCACCCCCACCCCACAGTGTACAGGCACGCCGGGAAACCCTGGCTGGGCGGGGCAGCAGCAGGGCAGCTAGTGGTATTTTCTAAATAAGATGTAATGTAGATTGTGATGTAATGTCAAGTGTGTCTGGTATTTTTGTTGAAACCATCTGGCAACCCCAGGTTCAATATGCTGAGTTTTTAACACTAAGGCTATGTCTAGACTGCAAGCCTCTTTTGAAAGAGGCTTTTTCGAAAGATACTTTTGAAAAAGCCTCTTTCGAAAAAGAGCGTCTAGACTGCAAGCGGAACTTTCGAAAAAGCAAGCCACTTTTTCGAAAGAAAGCAGCGAGTGAGTCTGGATGCTTTCTTTCTAAAAAGCCCTGTTGGCATTCAAGAACGCCTTTTTTCGAAAGAGCACTTGCGAAAAAAGGCGTTCTTCCTCGTGAAATGAGGTTTACCGCCGTCGAAAGAAAAGCCGCGTTCTTTCGATTTAAATTCGAAAGAACGCGGCTGTAGTCTAGACGCAGGTGAAGTTTTTTCGAAAAAAGGCTACTTTTTTCGAAAAAACCCGAGTCTGGACACAGCCTAATAGTAATAATCAGCCTCTGTGTTTATTTATGTCTTGTTGTTCAGTGGTCATTGACAGTCTATTTGGTTGTTTGAGAGGAATGAGCTCACTTTTCCATAAATCTTTTTTAAAAGTCTGTGCAGAATATATTTCAGAAGAGCATCTTTACTATGTAATACGTGTTTTTATACTTTTCCTTCAGCTTTTAGCTCAGTTTCCTTCATTGTACTCAGCTTTCTGTTTTAACATTCACACTTAGAAAACCATTGGGGTCAGTGAGTGCAACAGAGACTGTTGTCTTTACAAATGTTGATTAGGCCTCTCTTCTTTATCATCTTACAGGTCTTGTAGAAATTTGCCTGATGCACCCTCTTGATGTAGTGAAAACCAGGTAAGGTTCTGCTTGAACAAGTTTTATTGACACTGGAAAATATCCAAATTGGGAGCTGTCAGAAAATAAATTGCTAGAACTTGTCCAAGGAAGACAACTTCTCTCTTTAATGGCATTTATGTTTACTTACTGCTTTTTACAGCACTTGATAGACAGAATTTGAATAGCATGATGCATTTCTGGTTAGAGGTCATCTAAAGGTGTTAAATACTTTTTATGAAGTACAGTCTTCATATAATAGCTAAAAGAAAGAATTAAATAAAAGTTGAATATTTAAATATGCTTACCATATCCATCATCTCAAGTAATGTTTTAATGTGAAACTGAAGTGCCATAGTGCCTTAAAATATTTTTGAGACCTGCTGCAATGGGTCACATTTTAAAAAGTTAGAATGAAAGAATGTTCCCCAAATTAGCACATGTAAGTTGGGTTAATTCAAGCCAACTATACTTTGTCTCCATTTTCCTGTTTAGCCATACTAATCTGTGTCTTTGTGAGTACATATGGTGAACCAATTTTGAAAATTTTGTCCCAAAATTTCTATATCATATTGTTCATTTAGAAAAAGAAAAAAACCTTATGGTATTGGATTTCTGTCTTTTGGAGCTTGACATCTAAATTCATAATGTAACAAATGCAGACATTACTAGTGTTAACTACTTGTGAAACTAACCTTAGCAAAGTTCTAGTATGGCCAGTTGAAAGGTAAGAACTGGAGGACGTGCCTGAAGTAGGAAAAAGAGACAGCAGTTCTCTGGGATGCTTAAAAGTTGTATTGAATGTTTGTAAAGGCATTCTCTGCTTGTTTTTATAATTATGCTAAGGACTATGGAGAAGGAAGTAATTCTATATTAGGAATTTTCTCTGATTTTTCCTCAGCTCAGTATCCACAATCAGGGGAGCCAACAACCTTGCCAGGCCCCTGGGCAAGGTGTGTATGGGAGAGGGGTGTGGTTGCTGCATTATTTGAAGGGGTGGGGACTCAGGCAGAAGGGGCCAAGCTGGGAGCCAGCCCTCAGCACTGCCTGGACCGCGGCACTCTCCCTCCCAAAGCTCTCAGAGCACATGACGCATGGCACTCCAGTGGCAATTTAAAGTTGTTTCCCCCCCATTACACAATTCTTGATCTCTTCAGCAACATAGACACTAACATTTACTACAGGGGTAGGCAAAGGGGTCTCTGCGGGCTGGATCCAGCCCACTAAGTGGATTAATCCAGCCCGCGGCCGCCCTGCCGCCCCCCCGGTCCCAAATCAATTGAGACCTGGGGATAGGGAAGCATATGAAGTCTCCTTTTTCCGCCAGGGGCACGTGGCACCAGAGGGAACCACAAATCCCTGGTGGGGGAAGGAGACTTCACACGCTCCCACTACCCTCAGGCCAATCAGGGCCTGGGGGTGGAGGGGTACACAAAGTCTCTTGCTGCCCACCCCGTCCTGCCAGGAGGGAATTGCGTGCCCCTGGAAGAGCAGGGTGTGGGAGTGTGTGAACTCTCCTCTCCCCATGAGAGGTACATGGCCCCAAAAGGAACTGCGTGTCCCTGGCAGGGGGAGGAGACTTCCTGCAGGCCAATCAGGGTCTGTGGGTGGAGAAGCACTTGATGTATCCTGGCCCCACTCCTTCCGCCTGAGGCCCTGCCCCTTCCGGGGCAGTCCACGACCACTTCTGAAATTCACCAAGTGGCCCCCCTGCAAAAATTATTGCCCATTCCTGCCTGAAATGGTACCAGATGTGGATTGTGGCTGTGCATCCTTGCTTGATTGTTATGTGTTTTGTGTTTGCTTGAATATGTTTTTAATAAATATGTTGGAAAAGGAAATTCCTGCCTGAGATTATTTTGAACCTCAGGAAACACAATAATGGTTTGGATTTTCTGTGATAATATTTTGCCATACATTTGCTGTATTTAATAATTTTATACTATTCTACAATAATAATATAATCATTTATCCATGGCAGGTCTTGGAGAAGGGCTGATATATAAAAATATGTTCTTGTAAACTATAAACAAACAGCATGCCCAGTGGAGCTATTTCCTGCTAAATGTACATTTATACATTTGAAAATAATTTTGTTTCATTCTGCATTAGGACACCAAAGAAGATTTCAAATCTGACAGATTAATCCAAGTTACTTATACACAGAAAAAAACAGAAAACTCTCTCTCTATTATTTTAGCCCAATGCAACCTACTTCCTCTTCCAAATGAAATGCTGTACCCAGCCAGAAGACTATGGAAAACTATTGGGCTACGTCTACACTGGCCCCTCTTCCGGAAGGGGCATGTAAATTTCACGAGTCGTCGTAGGGAAATCCGCGGGGGATTTAAATATCCCCCGCGGCATTTAAATAAAAATGTCCGCCGCTTTTTTCCGGCTTTTAAAAAAGCCGGAAAAGAGCGTCTAGACTGGCCCCGATCCTCCGGAAAAAGCGCCCTTTTCCGGAGGCTCTTATTCCTACTT